ATTCATATATGGAACATAATTTTTTATGAATAAAATTTAAAAAAATGTGAGAAAATAAGATTTTTGTTTTAAATTTGTATTTCCGTCTGACATTTTAGCTGTGAATGTCATAATACTGTTAGGTTTTACTGCAAAAAAATGCTCATATTTGTAATCAGCGATGTCTCACGTGTTCAACAGAACCCCCCATTAACAGGTTTTATGGTGTTTTGGAAAGTTACAGGGTCAAATATAGAACGTTCCATTTTCAAATTGAAATTTGCCAGATTAGTAATGTTACCTTTGAGACGGTGTGGTATCCCAGGAATGAGAATTACCCCCATAATGGCATACCATTTGAAAAAGTAGACAACCCAAGGTATTAAAAAAGGGTGGTATGTTTAGTCTTTTTTAGTAGCCACTTAGTCACAAACACTGGCCAAAGTTTTTGTAACCAGTTTGAAACATATTTGTTTTTGTGTGAAAAAAGCAAAAAACTAATATTTGGCCAGTGTTTGTGAGTAAGTGGCTACTAAGAAAGACTGGACATACCCCACTTGCAATACATTGGGTTGTCTACTTTTGCAAATGGTATGCCATCATGGGGGTAATTCTCATTCCTGGGCTACCATACGCTCTCAAAGGCAACATAAACAATCTGGCAAATTTCAATGTTAAAAAAATGAAATGCAAGCCTTATATGTGACTCTCTTACTTTCCAAAACACCATAAAACCTGTACATGGGGGGTACTGTTATTCTCGGGAGACTTCGCTAAATATATTAGTGTTTTAAAACAGTAAAACATATTACAACAATAATATAGTCCATAAAAGTGCAGTTTGTTTGTAAAAAATGCAAAAAACGTCACTTTTACTTAAAATATCATCGTTGTAATACAATTTACCAGTTTGAAACACTAATATTTGAGTTCAAGGAAATCTCCTGAGTAAAACAGTACCCCCTATGTACAGGTTTAATGGTGTCTTGGAGAGTTACAGGGTCAAATATAGTGCTTGCGAATTAAATTCTCTGCACTTTCTCGCTGTGTTGTCAGGCATGTCAATCAAATTTTAATTAATCAAATCACATAATTATGTTAAAAGATTACTTAAATATACATGTATTTTAATATATATGCATTTATAGGTACTTAAATTCTACGTGTATACTAATGTAATCTTTTATGTAATTATATGTATTTATCTATCTATATATATATTTGCGGTTATTTGTATTTTATATATAGATAGATATATAAAGAATGTCAATCTAAGTGTATTTTGTTACCAATATATATATATTGATAACAAAATACAGTTAGAATGAAATTACATATGAATATATAATTTATATAAAATTTTGTTTCAATATTTTATTTATTTATTTTATTATTTTATTAATTTATTATTGTAATTATACGGATATATATATAATATATGTGTATATATATTATATATATGTAACGTCATTCTAAGTGTATTTTAATACTAATATATATACTTATATTAACATTAAAATACATTACGTATGAGGTTACATATATATATAATATGTATATATATTATATATATATAATATATATACATATATTTATTTTAAAACATCTTTAATTCATTTATTTTACATTTCCCACCAGCAGGGGGATTGTCTGACGTTTCAGACAGTCCCCCTGCTGGCAGATCCACAGCCAGCTATAGGGGGCCTCATTTGCCGGGGGAGGGCTGCCTGGGCTGTCAGGCAGTCCTCTCGAAGCGGAGCACCGGTAAGGTGAGTATACCGGGCGGTCCAGGGCTCAAAGCCGTTACGGCGTTCTATGCCGCCCGCAGCGGCTTTAAAGCCCAATTAAAGCGGGACGGCATTGAACGCCGTAACGGTTAAAAACGTCACGAGTTTAATAAGTCAAGCAATGCTGAAATGGCACTGCATTCGTAGCAAGCTTCACTATAGGGTTGCTATAAGTGGTTTCAGTAGGGTTGAGAGCCTATAAATGATAGAGAAAGCACACTGATAGCACCGGTGCTTGTTGTGCTTATTCACAACTTGCTAGAGTTAGACAATTTCTATTCAGCCTCCATTCTTTGCCAAGAGTCCTGGACACAGCCCTCCCCTGTCCCTCTAACATGTCACCATTACATCTTGTCCGGAACTCCCTACCTAAATTGTCTAAATATTGCAGATACATGTCAACCTATAGACTGTAAGCTCGTTTGAGCGGGGTTCTCTTCACCTATCGTTCCTGTAAGTTTTGTTGTAATTGCCACATTTATAGTTACACCCCCCTCCCCACCCTTATAATGTAAAGCGCTACGGAATCTGTTGGCGCTACAGAAATGACAATAATAATAATATTAACATAGTGGCATATTTGTTTAATTCCTTCAGTAGTAAGATTAAAATGAAACGGCAATTTACACCACTGAAAAAAACATTAGTTGTTTTAACTTGAGATGCTCTATTTTATTTCAAAGTTATATTAAAGGACCAGTCCAGCACCAAAACAACTTCATGTCAAGTCCTTCTCTGAGGTCTTACTCGCTATGGGCAGTCTCATTTTTTAAGTACAGCATGTGAGGAGATCGGACCAGCGTCTGACAAGTTCCAAGTGTTTAAGTGTGGAACTGTTTGAAAACGGTTCAACACTTAAATGTAAGAAGGCACTGGTTATATATTAGATATTTAGATATCTTTAATGAAGAGGAGAATAGAAACAATGTTTTACTTCTCTTCTTAGTATAATTTCTCTAAGATGGCTGCCAGGTGCAAAGGACAGAGTTTATTACAATGATTGACAGGGGGCTAAGATGGAGGCACCCAGTTGCAGGATAAAGAAGTGTTAATTTCCACATTTCATTTTATTTTTCACACCTCACACACATTTTTACACAAGGGTAAGTGAACATAACTTTACAAATCCTCACAATTGACAGCTCCCCATTAAATAAGATTTTACTCAGAAGCCAAATTATTATAACACACTGCACACAATCAAATCAGACAGGAATGTGAGCATGAGGGATGAAGGCATTAAAACTGACTTGTAACATTCTAGTTTTATCAAATAAACACATAGAACAAATAAAATATAGAGCACAAATGTATACATAATTATACGTTTCAGTCAAGTAATAATTACATCCAACATACAGCAGATGGTAATATGGCAACAAACCGGTATAGCAGGACTAAACCAATTTCCCCAAGGGCAAAAAACAATCCTAATTAAACAAAAACGTGGGCTATATTTCCCCCACTAAAAAAAACAAACTGTAAAATTAAGAACAGATAGATAGAAACAAAGGGCAAATCTGGAAAATACGCATAGATTTGCACGCCACCAATGTAACCATTTGCTAACGGTTTTACAATTTACCTGGGGTCTTCCTAGAGATGGTCACTTTCTCCTGGGAGTTTCTATTTAGCTTCTAGGAGCATCTGTTAGCTCTCCTGAGCATATCCATGCCATGCAAGGCCGGTAAATTGGCTGAGAGTATCAGCTGATCGTTCACAGCCAATGAGCTAAGCCCTGCATCACCAGACTTAACTATATACAGAGAGTTTCTGGCTCTCATAGAGAAGATCATTTTCCAAATAACATATAGTATAAAATTAAACACTGAATACAAAAAAAACTATTGAAAATCTCCTATAATGTGTGCTAAACTGCTTTTTATGTGTTACTCAGTTTTTTTGTAATTGTTAAATAAATGGTTACTCCAAGCACCATGACCACTTCCCTGATTTGAAGTTGTCATGGCGCCTGGAGTCTGTATGTGGAGTGTTTCGCTATGAAGTGCTGCACATACTGAGTTTAATCTCTCTGCTGCCTGCAGCGCCACTAAGGTGTCATTAGCCAATGTGAATTCTGTGCATATTTGTCATCTGGCAGCAGAAAGCAAAGCATGCACCAGAACACACCATATGCTGGCGTCAGACAGCCAATGGCGGCACAGTCCACTACACCATGCTGCCCCTGACGTCCCCTCACTCCGTCCTCCTTAATGTAGCGTCCCTTACGGCAAGGAGGAGTGAGATCAGTCAAGGAGGACCAGGCTGCAGGGAGAACCTGGCCTCGATGGGACACAGTTAAGTTAGGTTTAATCTTAATGCTTTCTTTCTTTGTTTTTTATTCTGGGGTTGTGGGAAAAACACCAAAGCAAGGGTTATTTTGACCAGTAAAATAGTATTTTATGAAAACAATGATTTTTGGTTGGAGTAACTCTTTAAAGATTAGCAATTAACATTACAATCCAGTTCAGTACAGGCATATCCAAGACCCCCAATGCATTGCAGGACGAGAAACACTACATCTCCATTGTACTATGTTCAATGGCAGAGCTTAAAGGGACACTATAAGCACCCAGCTCATTGAAGTAGTCTGGGCGCAGTGTCCCTGTCCCCCTTAGCCCTGCAGTAAAACATTGCAGTTTTAGAGAAACTGCAAAGTTTATATTGCAGTATTTGGACTTCCTCTAGTGGCTGTATAACAGACAGTGACTAGAGGCTCTTCCTGGAGTTTCACAGAGTTCGACCCTGTGAAACAACGCTGAACGTCCCCACACTGACAAATTTTTAAGAGAAAACCCCATAGGAAAGCATTGCCTCATTTAGGCAATGCTTTCCTATGTTGAAGGCCTAAGGCGTGCGCCGCACAAGCGCATTAGGTCCTCTTATAGAATTGAAAGACATCGGCACTGGAGTCGGTTAAATAAATAATGGGTTATTTAACACTTTTTTATTGCCTGGGATGGGGGAGGTGCAGTGCTGAGGAACATGTTAGTATTATAAACACATCTTTGTATTCCTAACACTAAAGTGTTTCTTTAAATCAACAATTGACAGTGAACTATGATGAAGAAGCCCAGTTACAGGATAGATATGTTTGGATGTCTACATTTAATTTTATTTTACAGATGTTACAAACACATAGAGATGTGGCCGAAAGTATTTGTACCCTTGCATTTTAATCAAATAATATCAAGCATGATATGGAAGATAAGCATTTAAATATAAAGAATAATCCAGGCACTCCAGCATATTCCAAAATGTACGCAATTTTTATTGGAACAAGGAACCAAAAGGCAACGTTTTGACCCCTTAGGGCTTTTGTCAAGCTTGACAAAGGCCCTAAGGGGTCGAAACGTTGCCTTTTGGTTCCTTGTTCCAATAAAAATTGCCTACATTTTGGAATATGCTGGAGTGCCTGGATTATTCTTTATATTTAAATGCTTTAATTGGTCCTTTTTTGGTACTGGGACTTGTCCACTAGAGCACCCTGAATTCCAGACGAAGGATTGAGTGCACTTCCATCACCTACATATACTATGGAAGATAAGCAAACATAACATTAAACACTGTGGGAAGAGACAGTCCCAATTTCGAGCAGCCATATTTGCCCACTTATACATCTGAATGTGAGTTTCTCCAGAATCAATCTCTTACAACAGTTATCAAGATTTGATTAGAAATCCCACATAACCCGTATTTGGTAGGCATGGCCTCTATCCAGTAGTGTTAAAAGGACACTATAGTCACCTGAACAACTTTAGCTTAATGAAGCCGTTTTGGTGTATAGAACATGCCCCTGCAGCCTCACTGCTCAATCCTCTGCCATTTAGGAGTTAAATCCCTTTGTTTATGAACCCTAGTCACACCTCCCTGCATGTGACTTGCACAGCCTTCCATAAACACTTCCTGTAAAGAGAGCCCTATTTAGGCTTTCTTTATTGCAAGTTCTGTTTAATTAAGATTTTCTTATCCCCTGCTATGTTAATAGCTTGCTAGACCCTGCAAGAGCCTCCTGTATGTGATTAAAGTTCAATTTAGTGATTGGGGTACAATTATTTAAGGTAAATTACATCTGTTTGAAAGTGAAACCAGTTTTTTTTTTCATGCAGGCTCTGTCAATCATAGCCAGGGGAGGTGTGGCTAGGGCTGCATAAACAGAAACAAAGTGATTTAACTCCTAAATGCCAGTGCATTGAGCAGTGAAATTGCAGGGGAATGATCTCTACACTGAAACTGCTTTATTTAGCTAAAGTAATTTAGGTGACTATAGTGTTCCTTTAATGGGATTATATAATAGTTTTCCTTATATTAATACTACAAAAATGTAATAATGTTATTAAGCTCTGGGCAAGCCCATGGAATTGCCCATGTTGGTAAGATTTGTCCTCAAACTAAAATTCATATGTTTAACCCCTTAAGGACACATGACATGTGTGACATGTTATGATTCCCTTTTATTCCAGAGGTTTGGTCCTTAAGGGGTTAAACAAATTAAAAGAAAGCTTCAAGCAGCATAATCCCTACATAATGCTGCAGTGGTTATGGTGCCATGACTGCCTTGGCGTACCCTCCAATGTAAGTGGCCAATTTATTTGCAAATAGTCTGACTACTTATCCTTGGCTTGCCAGGCACTGCTCCCTCAGTGAGAGCCAGAAAGCTATGCACTAAACCCAGCGGTGCAGGGCAGGGCTTAGCTCATTAGCTGAGTGAAAGCAGCTGACACTCTCCGACAATAAACTGTCTCTTTACTGTAGGGCTCCATTCAGGACAAACTTAAGCTCTTACAAGGTAAGAAGTCAAACTAATAGTAGTAAGTAGTAACATGTAAGTTTGACTACTTACATGGAGTTAAGGCACTCATAAGGCACGTCATAAGCTTTCTGTAGTGGTTATGGTGCTTGAAGTGTTCCTTTAATAATAGTAATAATAACAAAGTAATTAACCAGGAATATAGTATGCTTTCCAACAAAAAGTTAAACAGAGCCTGTCCTACAAGAATGACAGGTTGGCATTGTATAATTGTAATTATTTATTTTTCATGGTGTCCTTGAAGAATTTAGAGCGTGTTCCCTGGACGCCACGCACTCCTCTGTCTGCTGAAGTCTTTTAGCCATCCACTGGGGGAAAAGGCTTGTATGATTACAATGGCTATTCTTAGTGATTGTGTGTATTTTCCAAACACATAGCAGTGCTAAATACATGAAATAAAGTTAATAAAGCTTATTTTGACACAGAAAAAATACTGTTACAGTAGGTTTTGACAGCTGGCATTCAAAACTGTGCTCTAATGTAATGTAACCAGCACACTGTATAGACCAGAGTCTTGTCCCACCTGATTTGGGACCTTTATTTGGGTGCCTAAACCTTTGCTCTGTTGGTCTACCATGGTTGTAACACATATTATATGTAAGGCTCTACAAGTTGCCGGTAACAAATAGCTTACAGCAGTGGCATTGCCTTGTGTCATGTAGCTAAGAGTCTAATGATAGTGCTTTGCAAAATTAATACAAAATTGGTTACAAAACTAGAGCCACACACACAATTTGGATCCCCATCTAATTGATATAGATATTCATTTATTACGGACATGAAAAAGACCTCTGAACACATACATTGCCATTTACAGTGAATACAGCTGATTTAAACATTTGTGCTGGGGTAATATGTGTTGAGAAAATATCTTCTAAACATTAACATTCATCAAGTCGTATTAAACAAGATGGTGCCAATAATTCGAAGGGAGAAAGTCACACACACACATTCCCAAAATATTTTGTGTATGTCAGAAAAGGTTTCCCTTAAACCTCCTAAGTATGCTGCCACATTATGTGTGAAACCTGGCCTAGCGTACGTTCTATATATAGTGCATTGAAACACATTGGGGGTTATTTATAAACAGCATTTCTTGGTCAAAGTTCTAGAAGTGGTGCAATTACCATAGAAACCAATGGAATGTTCCTGCTCATTGGACCAATTTTAGAACTTTGTCCCACAGCTGTTATATCAATAGTAATAATGGAGCTATATTTATAATTAGCAATTGTGGGGCACAGCACTAAAAACATGACTCATTATGAACATTACACTTGTTTCACTAATTCTAAAACATATATTTAAATGTCCCTGTCATATCGCTTTCTAAAATGCTGCATTATTAGTGCAATATGTCAATATATACTGGCCTGCAATGAGGTGGGAGGAAATTGTACACAGTTTAGCAGGCAAAACATTTCATATAGTACAGTAAGATTACCCTGGAGTGTAGCTCTGCTTGGGGTTCAAACTTTACTCCAGCTCCCAGCATGCACAGGCAAGTCAGAGTGACTTAAGGACAATATGTTGACTATTCTGGCATACCCCCGGTGGCATGGCATTTTAGTAGAATAAAGCCTTGCCAAAATAACCTGCAGTCACTGTGCACAGGTGCAGGCTGTGAGCTCCCCTTGCAGGGTTAAATGCACCCTTTCACTGCCAGTTTCAAACCCATCAACTAAATGATTGAAGCCATCCCACTGGCACTAAATAATATAAATAACATAGACAGCAGACCCAAAGTATGTGTGGTGCTCACTACTCACGTACTTTTCGTTCTCTGCCTCGTTTCTCTGCTGGAAGGAGTCTGTAGTAAAGAGTTTGCTGTTGATGGTGCTGTGCCAGGCTTCCTCCCTCTGCAGTGGGTTCCCAGCTGGTGTGGTGCCCTCTTTCCTCTCTGTGGGTGTAAAAACATCACACAAGCAGCGTGACTGTCTTGTCAGCAGCACCCCTCCACCCTGCATTCAGCCCTGGGCATGGGGGGACAGGAGGGGGCAGACAAGCCTCCAATCAGCCCCCTCTCCTCTGCAGTAGCAGCAGCTCGGGAGCTGGAGGGTTAATAGGAGGAGGGAAGGGCAGAGTGTGAAGTGGTAGGCTCAGCCTGGCAGGAGTTGGTGACAGTGGCTGCTTCCTGCCTGCCTGCCAGGCTTTGTCTGGATCACTTGTGGCTCCTAGTGGCTGGAATGCCTGAGAAGCAGCTTAGAACTCCATGAACAGGAGGACAATGCACTTTCAACCCTCACTTAGCTTTCATTAAGTCTGCAATACACTCTGATCTGCTGACCTTTTGACTGAACTTTTTTTTTTTTTTTTTATTAAGGGGAATACTGCATATTTATAAAGCTAATTACAAAGCACTAACTGTTCTGATAAGTATGAAGAGGGCCAGGAGGCCTGGAACTTTTGTTATTAACAGAAATAATTATTTTTTTCCCAGTCTTTAGAGTTAATTTATACAATGTTGAAGGTTTATGCAATTCTCTGAACATGCTCAAAAGTACTAGTCTAGTTATTTATTTTATTTTTTTTAAATTCTACACGCTTTTGCATGAGCAAAAATAATGCATTTACTGACATACATATTAAATGGGAACTGTCAGTTCTTTCCCCCATTGAATATATTTACAAAAATTGGATATGACTTATGTTAACCTTTTTTAATTTTGATGCTCCATTTCTTATAATAAAAGACATTTTTAAGCACTAGTGTTAAGAACAGAAGGACTGCAGCCACCCAACAGAGCCAGGTAAGTGCCAAACCTTTCAAAAACCGTTTGACAGGCTAAACTGTGGCAGCTCAGGGAGCTCCTGGCACCATATCCACTATAGCATTATGTAGTGTTTATGGTCCATACAGTGACTTTTTTTTACCAATTACCATTACTACCCAGTTCAGTCCACGCACAGCCAGGGCCGGCACTGCAGATGGAGGAAAGAAATAGAAATATTGTTTAATTTCTTCTCAGTATGCCTTCTCTATGCTGACTGCCAAGTGCAAAGGACAGAGCATATAACAATGATTGACAAGGAGATAACATAGAGACAAACTGAACATGCACAATTTAGTGTTCAATTGGTTGAAAGACATCAAAAGCTGGATAGCTTCACAGTAGGCGAATCAGCTGCAATGAGGAGTCTGTCTCTTGCCATTGTGATAAAGATAAGTTTAATTGCTTTTCTTATTTTTTTTTATAGGCATGATGGTTATTTTTTCAATTTAGTGTTCCTTTAATATTTAATTTCCTAGGGTTAGTTTTGAGTCTGTACCTATGATGGTTGTATGACCGTGTGAGGAATATTTTTACTAGTAATTGTCCATTGTTTGAACGTCACAGCCTGCTTGAGTATGTTTGCTGACCGTGTACATTAATTCCTTTGTAGTCTCATCTTCTTATGACTACTTGCATCAAGATAATATGTGATGTTCAAAATACCTGCCACCTCATACCTCCCAAGTGTCCCTGGTTCCGAGGGACAGTCCTTATTTTGGACCCAAATCAATGACATTTGGACCTATTTCATCTCAAACTGGTTCTATAAACATGAAAATATGTTCAGTGGACCCCAGAGGTCTTGACAGTCACCAGATCTCAAAATAATAATCGCCCTTGGGGACGTATTA